CCGACGACTGCCCCCCTACAGACTCTCCACATGGACGTGTGGGGCCCAGCCTTCGTGATTGGACAGGGCCGCGAGCGCTACTTTCTGCTGGTCGTTGAAGACTACACGCGGTACACCACCGTCTTCCCCTTGCGCAGCAAGGGTGAGGTCCCTGATGTCTTGATCCCTCGGATCCGTGGAGTACGTCTCCAGCTCCGCGAGCGGTTCGGCCAGGACCTTCCTGTCTTGCGTCTGCACTCTGACAGAGGTGGTGAGTTGTCCTCCGACCTCTTGCGGGACTCTTGTCGTGGGAAGGGCATCTTCCAGTCGTTCACGCTTCCGGTCTCACTGCAGCGAAATGGGATTGCTAAGCGCGCATTGGCTTAGTCATGGAGGTCGCTCATACCTCCATGATCCATGCAGCTGCCCCCATTTTCTGTGGCCGTTTGCGGTCCGGTACGCTGCGCATCAGCTCAACCTCTGGCCTCGTGTCTCCTTGCCGGAGATCTCGCCCACACTGCGTTGGACGGGGCAGGTTGGCGATGCGTCAGTGTTCCGGGTCTGGGGCTCTCGTGCCTTTGTTCGCGATACGTCCGCGGACAAGCTCTCCCCCCGTGCTATCCCCTGCGTCTTCCTTGGCTTTCCCCCTGATGCGCCTGGCTGGCAATTTTACCACCCCACCTCGCGCCGTGTCTTCCCCTCTGAGGACGTCACATTTGACGAGTCGGTTCCCTTTTTCCGTCTCTTCCCCTACCGCTCTGCCCCTCCCCCGCCCCCGCCGCTCTTCCTTGGTCATGGTCCCCCTCCGGTAGACTCCCTCCCGCCCCTGGGTCCTGCTCCCTCAGGTGTGTCTCATGTAGACCCTCTCCCTGGTACTGTGCTTGTTGAGGTAGCTGGGGACTCAGGTGCTGCTCGAGGTACTGCGTCTGGGGGTGCTGAGTCTGGGGGTGCGGAGCTAGGGGTCGCTGAGTCTGAGGGTGTTGGATCTGGGGGTGCTGAGCCTACAGGTGTGGAGCCTGGGGGTGCTGAGCCCGAGGGTGTTGAGCGTATGCAGAGTCTTAGGGTGCGGAGTCTGGGGGTGCTGAGCCTCAGGGTGCTGCTTCGTCTGGAGGTCCTGCTGGTGCTTCGCCGCGGCTGTCTCCCCGGCCGAAGTCTCTCTCCCCGCAGCAGCTGCGTGAGTGGCTTGTTCGGTGCGCACGCCTTCGGAGTGGAGCTTCCCGAGCTGGAGCCACTTGAGCTGGAGGTGCTGGAGTTACTGCTGGAGCTGGTGGTACTGGAGGTACTGCGGCTGCTGGTCCTGGAGGTGCTCGTACAAGGGGTACTGGAGCTGCCGGGACTAGTGGTGTTGGGGGTGCTGGAAATGGAGACCCTACTGAGCCTGGAGCTACTGGGGCTGGAGGTCCTGGAGATGGAGGCACAGGCGCGGGAGGCGCTGGAGCTTGAGGAGCTGGAGCTAGAGGCACTGGCGATGGTGACGCTGGAGCTGGAGGAGCTGGAGCTGGAGGCACTGGAGTGGGAGGCGCTGGAGCTGGAGGAGCTTGAGCTGTTGACCCTAGAGCTGGAGGTGCTGGAGCTGGGGGTGCTGGTGGTACTGGTGCTGGAGGCACTGTGCGGCCACGACCGTACTCTGTTCCCTTGCTTCAGCAGGTTCGTGGTGTCCCGTCTTCTACTAGTCTTACTCCTCCCCTACTGTGTCCACCGCCTGACAAGTCGCAGCCGCTGTTACAGCCAGCCTCCCCACTGCCTGCTCCTTCTCCTTACACTGAGCAATCCGGCGGTCTTACAGAGCGTCGTGAGCCTGCGTCTTGTCCTGCCTCGCCTGTTCGCACTGCTCGTCGCGCTCCTCGTTCGCGTCCTCCTCCTGTCCCCGGCACGCACGCTATGGCACTTCGTCCTTCCTCTGTTCCACTGCGTGTTCCTCTGCCGCCTCCTCTTGAGTCCTCTTTTCCTGCAGTCCCTGACCCTGAACCTGACCTTGCTCGTGCTGCCAGTCCCACTGTCTCTCGTCTCCTCGCCACTGTTGTCACGGACCCTTCTTTTGAGTCCACTGCTGCGTCTGCCCTCGTTGCTGAGCTGCTTGACTTTGCTGCTGCCTATCGTCTAGACTTCACCACTGCTCTTCTTGCTGAGTCTGCATCTGCCAGTCCTCTGTCCGTGTGAAGATTGAAACAGGAATGAATGAGAGAAGAGGGGTTTCACTAGCAAGCAGTTGAGTACATATAGCAAACCCTAAATTGGGCTGTACTCACTATTGAGTACCCCACTGCAGGCTAGACAAAACATAACATTCTGACACACCCCCATAGCCAAAGTGGGGTGTAATCAGCACAAGAAGCAAAGCAAAACAAAAGACAAGCTCAGGGTGGATCACAATGTCTCCACACATTCTGAGCACAAGTAAGCAAGCAATAGTTCACAATAATAGTAAGCAAAGCTAGAAGCTTTCACAGAGGGCAAGTGTGGAGGAGGAGGGACTATGAGAGGAGAGGAGGTAGTGGGCGGCAGCTGAAGCTGCTGGCACACGGCGCAACTGGAGCAACTGGCACACGGGCAACTGGAGCAACTGGCATACTGGCAACTGGAGCAACTGGCACACGGGCTACTGGAGTAACTGGCTCCGCAGCTAACTCTGAGCGGCAGGAGCAACGGACTCACGGGCGACTGGAGCAACTGGCTCACGGGCGACTGGCGCAACGGGCTCACGGGCGACTGGCGCAACGGTCTCACGGGCGACTGGAGCTGCGGGCTTCACGGCGGCCACCCCCTTTCAACCTCCCCAAACTATCCCACCCCCCCTTTCACACACCCCCTGCTGCACCTCTAGATTCGCTTACACTCCACCCCCTAGCACCACTCCATCATCTCCCACACACCCACCCCCCTCAGCGGCAGCTGCAGTAGTGGGAGACAGAGGAGGAGGAGGAGCAGGGGAGACCACACACCCGCCACCCCCCCTTCGCCACCCCCAAACCCTAACACAGGGCAGGGCGGGATGGCGGGTAGGGAGGTTACGGGGGGGGGGGGGGGGAGACGCGCGGCCTCCCAGGGCGCCGAAACAGGCGGCAGAAGGGGCGACGTGCGGCCCCCTCAGGTCGCCTCGACAGGCGATGGGAAAAGAGGGGGGGGGGCGGTGCACGGGTCCCCGGTGCGCCGCGACAGGCGACGGAGCATGGCCGGGGCGGGGCCGGGGCAGGGTCGGGGCAGGGCCGGAGCAGGGCCGGGGCAGGGCCTCGACAGGGCCGCGACAGGGCAGGGGCAGGGCCGCGACAGGGCCGCGGCGGGGGGCCGCGACGGAGGGCCGCGACGGGGGGCCGCGACGGGGGGCCGCGACGGGGGGCCGCGACAGGGCGACGGGGCAGGGCCGGGCGACGGGGCAGGGCCGGGGCGAGGCCGTGACGGGGCCGCGACAGGGCCGCAACGGGGTCGCGACGGGGCCGCGACGGGTTCGCGACGCGGCCGCGACTGGTTCGCGACAGGGCCGCGACGGGGTCGCGACGGGGTCACGACGGGGCCGCGACGGGGTCGCTACGAGGTCGCGACGGGGTGGGGCCGTGAAGGGGCCGGTACGGGGCCGTGACTGGGCCGTGAAGGGGCCGCGACGGGGCCGTGAAGGGGCCACTAAGGGGCCGTGAAGGGGCCGCGACAGGGCCGCGACGGGGTCGCGAAGGGGCCACGAAGGGGCCACGAAGGGCTGCGACGGGCCGAGTGGTCCGTACCCAGAGCTTGTGGGTTGCCTCATGTACCAGATGACGTGCACACGACCTGACCTCGGGTACCCTCTTAGCCTTCTAGCTCGCTACATGGCTCCCGGTAGGCACCGAAAGGTGCACAGGGATGCTGCGAAGAGGGTACTGCGTTACCTGTGCAGTACATCGGGCATGGGGCTTGTGCTTAGAGGACAGGGTCCAGTTGTCTCACTAGTCACGCAGACGCTTCTTGGGTTGAGGACTCAGCTACACAGCGGTCGTCACAGGGTTACACCTTCAGCCTTGGTTCCGGCTCTGTTTCCTGGCGGTCTACCCGCTCGTCTTCGGTTCTCAGCTCCAGTTGTGAGGCTGAGATCTACGCAGGGGCCATGGCTGTTAGAATATCATGTTTCTCTAGTCTGCAGTGGGGTACTCAATAGTGAGTACAACCCTGTTAGGGTTTCCTATATGTACCCAATTGCTTTCTAGTGCAATCATCCTTTCTCACTTATTTCTCTCGTCAATATTCTCACATGGTATAGAGCAACTTTCGATCCCAAGGGCCCACCACGTCTTCAAATTTTTTTTCCTCACCTTCCTGCCGCGCGCGTCGCGCCTACCCTTAAGGCCCCGTAAGGCCCCGTCAGGCCCCGTTTACGGCCCCGTAAGGCCCCGTTTACGGCCCCAGTTACGGCCCCGTACGGCCCCTTAAGGCCCCGTCGGCCCCGTTTACGGCCCCGTCAGGCCCCGTTTACGGCCCCGTAAGGCCCCGTTTACGGCCCCACTTACGGCCCCGTACGACCCCTTAAGGCCCCGTTGGCCCCGTTTACGGCCCCGTCAGGCCCCGTCGGCCCCGTTTACGGCCCCGTAAGGCCCTGTACGGCCCCGTTAGGTCCCGTAAGGCCTCGGTTACGGCCCCGCTTAAGGCCCCGTAAGGCCTCGTAAGACCCCGTCGGCCCCGTTTATGGCCCCGTAAGGCCCCTTAAGGCCCCGTTAGGCCCCGTAAGGCCCCATCGGCCCCGTTTACGGCCCCGTAAGGCCCTGTTAGCGGCCCCGTCAGGCCCCGTCAGGCCCCGTCAGGCCCCCACCCACCCTGTTGCGGCCCTGTTCCGGCCCTGCCCCGGCCCTACCCCGACCTGTCGCGGCCCTGCTGCGGCCCTGTCGCAGCCCTGTCCCGGCCCCTTCTACGGCCCTGCTCCGACCCGGCCCCGGCTCTGCCCCTACCCTGCCCCTGCCCTGCTCCTGCACTGCTGCGGCCCGGCCCCGGCCCTGCCCCGGACCTGTCGCGGCCCTGCCCCTGCCATGCCCCGACCCTGCCCAGGCCCCGCCCCTCTCATGCCGGTCGTGGCGCACCAGGGGCCCGTGCACCGCCCCCCCCCCCTTTTCCCGTCGCCTTACGTGGCGACCCAGGGGGGGGGGGTGCGCGACCTGGGGGGGCGCGCGTCGCCCCTTCTTCCGCCTGCTCTGGCGCCCTGGGAGGCCGCGCGTCGGCCCCCCGTACTCCCCCCCCACCCCCCCTCAGGTCGCCTCAACAGGCGACGGGAGGGGCGACCTGGAGGGGGGGGGGGCGTGCGTCGGAGCAGCCGCCCCTGGTGCAGCCGCCCCTGGAGCAGCCGCCCCTGGTGCAGCCACCCCTGGTGCAGCCGCCCCTGGTGCAGCAGCCCCTGGTGCAGCCGCCCCTGGAGCAGCCGCCCCTGGTGCAGCCACCCCTGGTGCAGCCGCCCCTGGAGCAGCCGCCCCTGGTGCTGCAGCCCCTGGAGCAGCCGCCCCTGGTGCAGCCGCCCCTGGTGCAGCCGCCCCTGGAGCAGCCGCCCCTGGAGCAGCCGCCCCTGGAGCAGCCGCCCCTGGTGCAGCCGCTCCTGGACCTCAGCAGCCGCCCCTGGCCCCTGGCCCCTGGAGCAGCCGCCCCTGGACCCCCCCTCCTCTCCGCCCTTTTCTCCTCTCCCTCCCCCTGCTGCGGGTGCAGCAGTGGGGGGGAGGGGATCTGCCATCCCCCTGGAGCGGATGCGGCAGTGGGGGGAGGGGACCTACAGCACCTGCCTTCCCCCCCCCCCGCCCCCGCCCCCCCCCCCCCCCCCCCCTCAGGTCGCCTCAACAGGCGACGGGAGGGGCGACCTGGGGGAGGGGGGGGCACGCGTCGGAGCAGGCGCCCCTGGTGCAGGCGCCCCTGGAGCAGCCGCCCCTGGTGCAGCCGCCCCTGGTGCAGCCGCCCCTGGTGCAGCAGCCCCTGGAGCAGCCGCCCCTGGTGCAGCCGCCCCTGGTGCAGTGTTGGCTGGGGGAGCAGTAGAGGGGGGGAGGGGACCTGCAGCACCTGCCCCCCCCCCCCCCCCCCCCCCTTTCTCCTACCTCCCCCTGCTGCGGGTACAGCAGTGGGGGGAGGGGATCTGCCATCCCCCTGGTGCGGATGCGGCAGTGGGGGGAGGGGACCTGCAGCACCTGCCTGTCCCCCCGCCCCCCCCCCCCCCCCCCCCCCATCTCTCTGCTGCGCCCCGCGCGCCCTGCTGCCCTGTGCGCCCCGTGCGCCCTGCTGCCCTGCTGCCCTGTGTGCCCCGCGCGCCCTGCAGCCCTGTGCGCCCCGCGCGCCCTGCTGCCCTGCTGCCCTGTGCGCCCCGTGCGCCCTGCTGCCCTCTGCACGCGCCATGCACAGCACCCCCCCCCCCCCCCCCCCCCCCCCCCCCCCGCCCCTTCTCCTCCATCCCCTGCTGCAGGTGCAGCAGTGGGGGAGGGTATGGGGGTGGCGGGTGTGTGGCATCCCCTGCTCCTCCTCCTACTCCGTCTCCCACTGCTGCAGCTGCCGCTGAGGGGGGTGGGTGTGTGTGAGTCGACGGAGTGGTGCTAGGGGGTGGGGTGTGAGTGAACCTAGGGGTGTAGCAGGGGGTGTGTGAATGGGGGGTGCGGCAGTAGAGGGAGGTTGGGTGGAGGTAGCCGTCGTGTTGCTAGCAGTGCCAGTAGTCCGGAGGTGCGCTTCCGGTAGCCCAGTGATGCCGCTGCGCCAGTCGCCCGTGGGTCCGTTGCTCCTGCCGCTCGTCTTAGCCGCGGAGCCAGTTACTCCTGTAGTCCGGAGGTGCGCCTCCGGTAGCCACAGTGCGAGCCGCTCCTGTTGCCCGTGTGTCTGCAGCTTCCGCCGTTGCCCCCTCTCTCCTTTCCTATTAGTCCAGCCTCCTCCTCCTCACTTGCCCTCTGTGATAGCCTCTAGCTTTACTTATTTGCTGTGAACTATAAACTGTTGCTTCTTGTACTTGTGCTCAGAATGTGTGGTGACATTGTGATCCACCCTGAGCTTGCTTTGCTTTGCTTCTTGTGCTGATCATACCCCACTTTGACTATGGGGGTGTGTCAGAATATCATGTTTCTCTAGTCTGCAGTGAGTGTAATCAATAGTGAGTACAACCCTTTTAGGGTTTCCTATATGTACCCAATTGCTTTCTAGTGCAATCATCCTTTCTCATTAATTTCTCTCGTCAATATTCTCACAATGGCTGCTTAGGAGCTACGCTGGCACACCTACCTGCTGATTGACTTGGGAGAGCAGCCTCGTTCGCCTCCAATTCTGTACGTAGACAACAAGGCCATGATTGCCTTGTGTCAGGAGCACAGACTGGAGCACAGAACGAAGCACATCGCTCTGCAATACTTCCTTGCTCGAGAGTTGCAGCAGCGTGGCCAGCTTCGTCTTGCGTACGTGGCCACTAGGGCCAACACTGCTGATATATTCACCAAGGCACTTCCGCTTGGTGATCATCAGCGCTTCTCTACTGTGTTAGGCCTTGTGCCTACTTTGCCTCACTTGCTCACTGTGATCTATAGATATACCTGCATGCTTGCACTTGCTAGGGTATGATCACTGAATTGTTTGTTCTCTTTTATATAACTCTGCATGTGAACTGGCCTTGTGGCCACTTGTTCTCCTCCACTTTGCCTATGGGGGTGTGTCAGAACATTATAGTGCTTACATTTGTATAGGCTCTAATGGGGTAGCCCGTAAGGGGTACAACCCAAATAGGGTTAGTACATGTACCCAACTGTTTCATAGTTCATTCATTCTCGTTCAGTATTCTGACAGGGCGGGGAAGGGGCAGAGCGGTAGGGGAAGAGACGGTAAAAGGGAACCGACTTGTCAAACGTGACGTCCTGATAGGGGAAGACATAGCGCGAGGTGGGGTGGTAAAACTGCCAGCCAGGCGCGTTAGGGGGAAAGCCAAGGAAGACGCAGGGTTTAGCATGGGGGGAGAGCTTGTCCACGGACGAATCGCGAACAAAGGCACGAGAGCCCCAGACCCGGAACACCGACGCATCGCCAACCTCCCCCGTCCAACGCAGTGTGGGCGAGGTCTCTGGCAAGGAGACACAGCGCCAGAGGTTGAGCTGATGCGCAGCGTACCGGACCGCAAATGGCCACAGAAAATGGGGGGCAGCCGCATGGATCATGGAGGTACGAGCGACCTCCATGACTAAGCCAATGCGGCGCTCAGCAATCCCATTTTCCTAAGGGGAGTCCGGAAGCGTGAACGACTGGAGAACGCCCTCCCCATGACAAAAGTCCCGCAAGAGGTCGGAGGAGAACTCACCACCTCTGTCGGAGTGCAAACGCAGTACAAGAAGGTCCTGGTGGAACCGCTCGCGGAGCTGGAGACGTACTCCACGGATCCAAGGGATCAAGACAGCAACGACCTGACCCTTGCTGCGCAAGGGGAAGACCATGGTGTACCGTGTGTAGTCGTCAACGACGAGCAGAAAGTAGCGCTCGCGGCCCTGTCCACTGACGCGGGCTGGGCCCCACACGTCCATGTGGAGAGTCTGCAGGGGAGCAGTCGTCGGGGGAAACAAGGAGGAGTGAGGAGCGGTGCGCTGCTGCCCCTCGACGCAAGGAAGGTAGGGCAGGGCAGGCGAGGGCGGGAGGGGAGGCAGAAACCTGGGAAGACCAGAGACAAGGAGACGGGAGTGCATGCCACGCAGGCGTGGCAGGGAGGGGTGACCAAGGCGGTGTTGCAAGAGGAGAGTCTGGTGCGACAGGAGGCGACAGAGCAAGGGGGTGCTACCTGACCTGACGCGGACACCTGGGAAAACGCAGCTACCTGATGAGGCTCGGTAGCCTGTGTGTACAGACTCGACCTAGGCCGACGAGTGAACGTGGCCAGGTGACGACCCGTCTGTATACACGTGCAGATCGACACAGGCTGACCCCTTGGAGTGGTGGTAGTGACCATCGAATCCTGGAGGGCAGCGGTATTCACCAAGTTCGTAGAGAACGAGGGGAGGTGAAGACCTGACAGTGAGCCTGACAGAACCGCCGGACACGGGAGAACAGTGGAGGAACGGGCAATGACTGCCCCCCCTGAAGGGTCAGCCAGTCTGTCCGGGACAGGTGCAGGGAGGGGTGTGAGGGTGGTGGTGTCACCAGTGTGTGAATGACGAGGCATGGTTTTGAATGTGTGTGTCGAATCAATAGCGAGTTATCGCTAGTCGCGTGTCACGTCGTCGTTTGCGTATCGTGTGCGGTTTTTTATTTTGTCGTGTGTGGAACGTTCGGCGTGTTGCAGGTGTGCGCAGCAGACTTCCAAGAACTCAAGGAAGAATTTATCTTGAAGAACCAGAGCCATGGTTTCAAGATTCAAGTGATTTCAAAGCTCTCCAAAAGGGCAAACTTCAAGATAGTGAGAATAGTTACATTACAATATGTAGTGTAACATTTCTCTTGGTGTAGGCCCTTGTGGAGGGTAGTTTCGAGACCTTTCATGGTTGGGGACAGTGTGGCACTGTTCCACATCACTGTACATTGGCTCTTGAGGTTTGTAGGAGCTGGGAGTCATTCCCAACTCGTAACTCTTCCTAATCTGTGTTCTAAGACTATAGTGGCTGCCATAGTGCCGTTCGTTCAAACCAACGTTGTGTCGTCCATTCGTAATAAAATCGTGCGATCTAAATTGCCTATTGTAGGCGACGTTAAGAGGCTCTAGATCCAAGTTGAATCAGGTAATTTGCAGCTGTGACCAGAACGCTATAAACGTTTAAATCCGTTGTGCAAAAATCCAACTGTGCACTCAATCTTTCGTTTTAGGCACATTCAAGCATACTGTGACTATAACACTGCCCAACTAGGCACCTGCAATCTTTGTTCGTGGTCCCCTCCCGTCCCTCCCCATTCCCAATAGCAAGTCCCTTTCCTTGTCTCTGTGGTCTCGTCGGTCTCCTCTCAGTCGAGCTATGTCCCCAAAGCCTCGTCAGTCCCGTTACCGTGCCGACGACCCGTTTCACCTTGTTCTCCGTTCTCGTGTTCCACCTCCTCCAGTCGTTCTACAGCATCCAGTGTCATACCTCACTGTGTTTCACGACCCGTTGTCCAACTATCTTGTCAAACTTATATATAGCTTACATTATGTAGGCTGTAGTGGGGTAGCCCATAAGGGGTACAACCCAATTAGGGTTAGTACTTGTACCCAACTCTCTCATAGTTCATTCATTCTCGTTCATTCTTCTGACATGGTTTCAGAGCAGGTCCTCCGCTAGGACCGTTTTTTTTTTGCCCACCACAGCGCTACCCCGCTAGACGCCCTCTGCAGCCCTCGCGCTGCCCCTACTGCCTGTCGCGACAGTTAGGCCCCTAGGCCCGTTGCCCTAGACCCGTCGCTCCGCGGCCCGTCGCCCCTAGGCCCCGTCGCCCTCGGCCCCGTCGCCTCTCGGCCCTACGCCCTAGGCCCCGTCGCCCCGCGGCCCCCGTCGCCCTAGGCCCCAATGCCCCGCGGCCCTCGTCGCCCACGGCCCGTCGCCCTAGACCCCGTCGCCCTCGGCCCCGTTGCCCCTCGGCCCTACGCCCTAGGCCCTGTCGCCCCGCGGCCCGTCACCGTAGGCCCCGTCGCCCTAGGCCCCGTCGCCCAGCGGCCCCCTGTCGCCCTACGCCTCGTCACCTAGCGGCCCCCCGTCGCCCTAGGCCTCGTCGCCCCGCGGCCCCCGTCGCCCTAGGCCCTGTCGCCCCGCGGCCCCCTTCGCCCTAGGCCCCGTCGCCCTGCGGCCCCCGTCGCCCTAGGTCCCGTCGCCCCACGGCCCGACACCCCTAGGCTCCAGGCCCCTCGGCCCCTTCGTTCCTGGCCCCCCGGCCCGTCGCCACTAGGCCCTCCCTGGCCCGTCGCCCCTAGGCCCCCCCGGCCCCTAGGCCCATTGCTCATGGCCCCCCGGCCCCTCGGCCCCTGCTGCTGCTACTGCTACTACTGTTGCTACTTCTGCTACTGCTAGTGCTGCTACTGCTGCTGCTACTACTGCTACTGCTACTACTGCTACTACTACTACTGCTGCTACTGCTGCTACTGCTGCTACTGCTGCTACTGCTACTGCTGCTTTTGCTGCTATTGCTACTACTGCTCCTGCGTGCTACGCCACTATGGCTTCGCTTCGAGTTCTCGCGTTCGATCATGAGGGCAGACCGATTTAGTTTGACACGTGGATAGACGATCTGCAGCTGTACCCAGTGAGCAATTCTAAGGACAGTGTTTCGCTGTTTGACCTCTCGTCAGGCGCCGCTACTGCCCCTCCCGCCACAGCTGACAGTGCGACTTGTCACAGTGGCTTACTCGCGACGCTGCTGCCCTCTTAGCCATTCGCAACCACCTGCCGTTAGCCGAATGCGCTCACTTCGGACAGCACAGGACAGCACAGGCACTGTACGACGCTGTAGTCGCTCGCTACTCCTCACCTGCAACTGCTGCTCTAGGCGGACTGCTACTGCCCTACCTGTTCCCCGAGCTGTCAGCCTTTGCCACAATAGAGGACCTTGTGTCCCACCGGCGCACTAGCGACGGTCGCTACCGCGCTACCGTCCCTGCTGAGTTCCTTGACAGGAACCAGCCCCCGATGTTCATCACCCTCTACTACATAGT